CCCCCTTCCCCGTTGGGAATAGGGAAGCCGTGCAGCGGCTTTCCCCCAAAACATACACCCCCTCCCTGTCGACTGCACCAGACTGGAAAGATAGCTTGTATACATTCAATATAATCATGGTATTATCGTTATCTATTATTATTGTTTTCTTTTTTCATTGTTTATTTAGTATTTACTCATTATATATTTTGTTGTCATCGATCTTCCTACGGCTCCTGTGGATGAATCTATCCCTGATTACGGGGCGCGCTCATTACCACAATAGACGTATCTAGCTACGGTTGAAGTGTGCACTGACTTAGGTGAGGCGCACCGCACAGGTGCGTTCAGGGCGGGAAAACGGCCTGTTTCACTCGGAGGGAGACCAATGTTGCAGAAGGAGAGGGTGATGACGAGAGAAAAAAGCAGAGGAAGAAGGAGGGGGTGATCAGAAAAGAGAAAGAGAGTGGCAGAGGACGAAGCTTACCTGGCCTGCTGCAAGTAGAGATCGTGATGGACACTTCCCAACGATTATAATGATCGTCTTCCTCCTCTTCTGGCCAGTGGTATTCGTGTGGGTTGTGGTTTTTCTTGCTGGCTATTCCGCTTTCTTCCCATCTTTTATACTATTTTCCTTCTTCCTTATCATCGTTTTTTTTTTTTTTTTTTTTTTTTTTTTTTGTAGCGAACAGGTTACTCTGACGTAAGCCGTGTCGTCTATGGCCTGAATTAGGGCCAGCCTTATTATGGGAAGTTGAGTACGGGGAAAAGTGACAAGGAGGGAGGAGACAGGGAAAGATGAAGGGGAAAGAAAGGAGAAGAAGCGTGGACGAGAGGGAGTGGAGTTGTAGCTACCTGGTGGCGTGAGAGAGAGAGATAGCACACCATCACTCAGTTCAGCCGTCTATTTCTGATTATTTCGAAAACGGTGGCCACTGCTAAACGCCTGAACAAGTCCCGCTAGAAACCAAAAACGGGAGGGCCTGCTACCGGTACCTTCTCCCAGGCCAGGCCACGCGGTACCGCTGGCCCAGGCCAACCCCCGTGTTTGCGAATTATCGAACCGGTAGGCCATCTATCGGCGTCTAACGCACAGTTCACTGTTTTTCTTGCTGTTTCGAACTGCTCACGGCCCAATCTTGCAGTGGACTGTTATTTCTGCGAATTTTGAACTGTGCAGCCGTCACCGGCGCAGTTTTTTCAAAAAAAAAAAAAAAAAAAAAAAAAAAAGCGCTGGGGCACTGCATTTTCTTTAGGCTCGGCAAATCCTGCGCTCGTGCAAGAGGTTCAGGGGGTTCCTGCAAATTCCTGGGATTTGGCTCGGATGGACTGGCGGTTTAATGTGAATGTAAGTTGTTACGCATATTATGAACATCAAAGTTGATCAATCTATGTAAACTATGACGATGCATGCAAACACACACTACTGCCGTCTTCCCCCAAATACAAAATACGGCCGTTATAGCTGTATTTGGGGTATCTTTCAGACTGAGTGTAAACACAGCTATAATGACCCTGCGTTGTATTCGGGGGAAGAAGGTAGGTTACTGCCTGTATGGCTGAGTACAGAGCTCCAAAGACGAAAAATATACCAGGATTGCAAATAAACGAGCCCGGGGATTCTCACACTAGCACTTTTTGAAACGGATCGGGCCGCAACAATTATATGATGGTCAGACCTGGATGCACCTGACCGCAATCACGGCCTGAGCTGGGTTGAAAAAGTCCACAGTGTGAGCAAGCCCTGAGCAAAATGGGGTTGGCGAGTGTGTCACATGTTGGCGCGACAGATAGTGCATGTGGAGTATGGGCCTCGCTCCATTACTCACCAAAAATGTGAAAAAAAAAGAGAATGGGTCTTCCGCCTTAACATGGGAAGATACACCGCCCTATTGTTTGTCTTTTCGGCATGTGGAGAGTTCTGGAGAGGCCGTCTCACACCTAGCGTCGAAAATTCGAGACGAAGGCGCTCGCCTCCACTACTCACCAGATGCACAACACACAAAAATATGGCGGTCAAGTAGAATAGGCGGGAGAACTCTCGGGGAATGGATAGTGGTATGGTTTATATGAGACAGAGATTAGGCGGTGTAGTTAGCCTAAGGACCATGGATGATCATTTGCTTATTAAAGTTGTTGAACTTGAAGGCAAATGGAACTGCTCTAGCTCAGGAGTCAGGTGATACACCCCTGAGACCTGTTAAAATACAGACCCGGGAGTGCGAACTCCGAAGTGACTGCCAAAAGCGGAAAGAAAATAACCGATATCGAAACCCCTTGCCAGCACTCGTTAGCTGAAACTTAGGGTCAGATCCCACTACCCTGGAATCCCCTGGATTATTTGTTTTTCACCCTTGATTATAAAGATCAACGGTCAGAAATGAACAATAACGGCTGGTGGGATATGGCCCTTACTGTGGCACAGAAACGTCATGATGGGCCCGGAACTGTTTCAACCAAGTGGATGGAGGCAGTGCTGTCCATCTGCCGTAGCCCGCAGATGTTGTCCCGCAAACTTTCTTCTTTTTTTACCCGGAAACATTTTTTCGTCCAAGTGGAGGGGAGCGATGTCTGTTTTACAAAAACGAAAGAAAAAGGTTTTGTCTGTTTCGCCTTACATCCACATGGCAGGCAGACGCTTTCTGCCCAAATTGGTGGATCCGGTGAAATGGGAAACTGTCGCCAGCCCTTTCCGTCCAATGCCAGCAGCCCCAAGGTCCAAGGGAAATACGACACTTCACGTTTGGATGGAGTAGAGCCCACAGCCCACAAAGAGATACATGTGAACATTGTGTTGAATAATGCGGCTGTAATAATGCTGAAGTGGGATGCTGGACCCGGTCTCCAGCAGGTGATGCTCCCCACCAAGCGATGGAGCAGCCCGCTGGTCGAGGTCTCAATTCCGGCGGCTCACTCACCGCCACAGGGTTCGAGACCTCGCGAAAAGGGCTTTGCCTCAGGAAAAAAAAAAAAAAAAAGTGTCAAACATTGTCAGCACACGTGGTTAACCAGGGGTCAAGTCCGACCAGCGAAGAGTAAATCGGTGTGTGACGCGTTGTAGGGAATAAAAAATAGGAAGGAAAATAATATTTTGTTGTTTTTTCCCGTTCAGGCGGAAAAAAAAAAAAGGTACCAGAGCCCGGCCGTTACAACGTCTGACACCCGTCATTATTGCGCCTGTGCTGAGCGCTAGGGGTTCACGCGACCCGCTTCGTGTCTCTGAAGCACGAATCTATCCCTAAGTGTAGGCGAAATGCTGCGCCAAGAACGTCCACCATTCTGAACTTGTGAACGGAGTGGAAACACTGAGGCCGAACGTGGTCGAAGTGTTCTCTCTTTGTTCCTGAAAAGTTGCTGGAAGAGGGGTGGGACTGGTAGAAGGACCAGTGTTGCGACACGGATTCGGCGCTCCGACTCCGTGGTACCCGAGTTCCATTCTTTCTCGAGGGACGACGGTACACGTCTCGCTGTGCCATCGTCGTGTGCGAGGACACCCATTGCCCCAAGTGCCATGCCGCGCATGCGTAGGAGAATGCGGGACCCCCTGGTGGTGGCCATCATGGCTATCGCCGGCAGATTGGCAGAAGATGCCTTCAGTTTCGTTGATTCCCTGTTTGACGAGTCGTTGCTCACTGGTGAGGACGATGATATGGCGATGGTTACTGTTGGTGATGCCGACGAAGATGCCGRAGGACGACACCGCAGTCTCCTTTGGTTGTTGCCAACCATTTAYGAAATGTGCGGGTTGTCACCAAGGGCGTCTCCTAGGTGGTGGGTCATGCGGCGGTCTGCGGGGTTATGGAAGGACCTCGTCGCAACGGACGACGCCGAGAATGACCACTACTTGGGCTTGTTACGCATGCGGAGGTCCACATTCGACAGGCTGCTGCGTAAGGTCGGGCCCCTTTTGGAGAAGCAAGTCACAAAATTCAGAGTGCCATTGCCGCCGTCCAAGAAATTGGCCTACGCACTCCACAGATGGGCCCACGGCGATGCACACTGGCACARCTCGTCCGGATATGGCATGGGGAGAACTAGTGCCTTGCGCGCGGTACGAGAAGTTGCAGAGGCCATTCACACGGCCTTCCCGAACGCTGTTAGTTTTGGCAGTTATGAGGAGCGGCACCTACGTATGCAGCGTTTCCGAGCATTGGGTTTCCCCAATTGCTGGGGGTGCATCGACTGCACCCACGTGTACGTCGACAAACCGCGACGCGCAGATGGTGATGACTATTGTTCTGGACGGAGCAACAGGTTCTCAGTGCTTGCGCAGATTGTCGTTGACTCGGACTTGCAGATCCTGGATTTCTGCTACGGCTTCCCTGGGACCGTTGGCGATGCCCGTGCTCTGAGGAACACTTCCCTGTACAGACGCGCTATGAAGGGGTCGCTGTTCGCTGACCGCCCCGATGATCCTTTCGCTGCAGAGAGGCCGTCTATCCCGGGTGTCCCTGGGGGATACTTGCTTGGTGACGGAGGGTATCCCGCTCTTCCGTGGATTGTGATCCCTTA